ATTGCTGACAAACCTAGAGACATGATCAAGGCGAATCGGGGTTCGAACCAACAATCAACCCTGAAAACCCAGATGACACCAGGCATGCTTACCAAGCAGCTGGCTCCCATTTATCGAAACAAACTTAAGTTTATACTCAAATTTCAAAAGAGTTCGACAATTTGAAACAGCTGAATTTTTAACTCAACTGTATTTATAAATTTAAAAAACCCAAAGAACTTAAGTAATCTATCCACCAAACTCAAATTGTTTACTATGTTTGAGTTTAATATCGATTTCAGTTTATTCTGGGAAATGCATTTTCCTGCATTTTCTCAAATATGACTAAAAACTCTAACTTAAGTCAAAACTCAGACTTAAGTTTATTTCGAGATATCGGTGCCAGGTGTTTCGTAAGCATGCCCCGCTTAATAAAATTTGATAGTGGTTCAGAGAATCCAGTGATCAACAGTATGAGCATGAATCTATGCAATTGGAATGCGATGACATGTCAACAAGTCACAGAGTCTGGCCACCTGATCCCGTTAATCGCCGCTTACGACAAGCATGGGATGTTGAAGACCAATTCTAACCCGAATCTTCACTGGTCTATGAACAAGCAAATGCAATCTTAAGTTGAGAAAACAATATGGGAAATTTCTATTTTCTCATTGATAACATCTAGGTATTATTTAATAATAGGACTGCCAAACAGTGTCTAGAAACATTTACGGCCTTGGTTATTGAAGAGGTCCCTTGATGGAAATAACCCCAGCAAAATATGATTCTCATGGTCCATTGGCGTTTCCAAGGATGGCGTCAACGTTTCAAAAGTTTAAGCCATAAAGAATATCAGACACAGCTGGTGCCAAATCCACTCTCACAGTCTGTATGTAAATACACAATGTAAAATATCTGTCAGTCCGCCAGTAAATTGCATATACTCGTTTTGTCATTTCTTTGGGCACCAAATACCGCCCATCTTGTTTATCTGTGCATTCATGTAGATTCATATACTTTGTGATTCTAATTATTCTGCAAATAAAGATTTCAATCGTAACACCATCCTAGCTAAATTTAAGTTTGATCATGATATTTGTTTCTCTTGTGTGACGATATTCATTCCTTGCGTTATTGCTTCACACTACTAATGCGTCTGCAGGCAATTTATGAGACTAATGATCTGTACATGAACGTCAAAACAGGTAATGAAGAAAATGAAGAATCTCGAACGCCACAGCATTCTGCATCACCCAGAGAGTCAGAAGAGCTGTTGTCCGGGTGGACAACACAGGCATACTCCTGATCAGCATCATTAGGCCAGAAGGTACCAAGCCAACGGCAACGAGAACAATTTGAATCCTGACGACAGTGTACTTGAGATGCAAGCCAGACAATTTTATCATACTCCAATCTTGCCAATAACATTGCTGTCAAAAGGGACAGAAAAAAATAATAGTACAAATACATTCATTGACTTCATCATAAAAGACAAGATAAGATCTTTGGCTGTGTTACGCCTGAGGGTGCATGTTTGCCTATTCAAAAGAATGTTATAGTGGTCATTTTCCCGTATTCTGAGTAGTCAAAATCACAAGCATGGCGAAGACGGCATAAACTGCACTTCATATTTACATTTTGACGTAAAAATACGCAAAAAATTGACGGTTACGAGTGGGAAATTACCCGTCTTGTACAGCAAACAGAAATCTTTCCGTTTCACTTGTAGGGCCCGCCGACTTCATCCAAGCGAAGAACGCAACAGGCTTGATATTATCCTCAATACACTACTTGTAGTGAGTGAGTTTAGTTTTACGCCGCTTTTAGCTACCCCACCGTCCCTATACCATAGAGACAACGCCGACAGCAAGTCTTGTGTTTGAACCACCGACCACTGCTGTCCAAGCTGACGCTATCCCATAGAGACAACGCCGACAGCAAGTATTGTGTTTAAAACCACCGACAACTGCTGTCCAAGCAGACGCTTTCCCATTTGGACCCGGTGGGGATCCTGTATTGTGGGAACATTCAGGGGCGGGTTTGGTATTGCTACAAACATCTTACAACAATGTCATATATAATGTAATGGGTTATAATTATTACAGTACTCATATTTTAATCTTTGTTTTCCTCGTTCTATACGGAAATAAATTTATAATTAAGATACTCTTCCTTGGGTGTGTATACATTATTTGATAATATACTCTTCAAAAAAAGAAAGGGACATCATTTTTGATTTACGATTGAAATAATTGGGAGATATATCGGAGTCAATCAATGTTGGTATCATAATAATGAATGTTTTGAGAGTGCATCACCACTTGCACTTCCTTATGACCATAGTTGTTTGTACAGTTATCGCTCTTGAAAGATGATTAGTGTAAGACGTGAAATTTGGTGGGTCACTTATGGTGTGGGGTGGTATCACTATGACTGACCGAACCCCTCTTCCTGTTGTGCAAGGAAGGGTCACAGGGCAGTACTACCGGGACAACATACTGACATCCTTTGTTGTTGTCCCATTTGCTGGGCATTACAACGCCCGTGCTTACCGTGCACGTGTCGTCAATAATCACCTCCAGCAAAACAACATCTATCGTTCGCCAGAAATGAGTCCTGATCTTTCTCCCATCAAACACGTCTGGGACATGATAGGGAGACGTGTGCGTCAAGGTCAAACTATGCCGACTACGCTGTATGAACTTGGCCATGCTCGTGTATGGGGCTAGTGCGTTGTGCACGTACATCCAAGTGTTGTGTCTAGGGGTGGTGATCCTAATGCTTCCTATCCAAAATGAACGTTCAGTTCTCCCTACTATTTAAAGTGGACACGAGGAGAAAATACATGTTCCAAGTAACGATACCCTCTGGTATTAATCTAATCGTACGTATCTATCACATTCAAACTAAAAACCTAAACTTAACTATCCCCGTTCATTGAACGACATTTAGAAGTCATCACCTGATGAAGGAGTGAAAATATACTCCGAAACGTCGTGTTCCTCCAATGTAGAAGTTGACCTCCAATAAATTCTCGTCTTTATCCCTGTCACGTTCAAATCTCTTAAATTATTTTATATATAAACCACATTGCCCTAATATCTAGTGTCATACTGAATTGTCAAGTGGTCGTGTTCATTAATTCATATCCACAAATATTCATTAAATTATGTGACCATGTGTTCAGAGTTTAGTTTATTGTAAATCCCCAAGGGAGTATGGTTTAACTGAACAAGTATGACATAAACATCACATGCAGGGCTCTCACCATTACAACATGTCCACATGTATCGAACATAACGTTTTTATGAAATTTGTGGAATAGTAGGTTGCAAGGGCAGCTCATGTTGTTGAGGAACACACACTACCTATTCTCCATCTGTAACAATACCTTCCTTATCCTGCTCCTCGACAAACTGAATAAGAGCCTTTGACAGAAAATATGTCAGTCCTTTTTGTTGCTCTCTTCTTCTCTCTGCTACTTTTCTGGTACAGTTACACTGCCAATGACATATCTATGAACACACGTGCCCCATTGAACAGTAACAACTGCTTCAATAATCAAACCATAGTCCTCAAACATGGTCCCCAAACCAAGCTATATACGTCCCCAAACAATGGTCCACAAACATTGTCCCCAAACAAGTTATATACGTCACAACGATCAATGTATCTGGATTTTAGTACATATTACTCGGCAACGGACAGGGGTACATGTTACTAATTAGACGGTACATACACAGATAGGGTGCCACAACCGAGGACCTGCAGAACAGCAACATGAAACAGAATATATTGACAAAGAAGACATTCAGTGGTGCAGGAAAGAAGTTGACGGGAACGGGTGAGTGAGTATGGTTTTACGCCGCTTTTAGCAATATTCCAGTAATATCACGTCGGGGAACACCAGAAATGGGCTTCACACATTGTACCCATGTGGGGAGACGGGGGAATTGAAACTACACTCCTGTGGACACAGATGGTAAAACCCCTACAGTGGACACTTGTATGGGTGTGTGGAGGGGGGCATAATAGAAGGGGTGGGATAGGAGGTGGTCGGGTGGGATAAGGTGGGAGATGGCCGTGTGAGGGAAAGGGTTCGGGAAAGCATTGTTCGGGGAAGGTTGAAAAGAAATTGTTGGATTATGTCGCTCCTTGTGTATTCTGTGCAGCTGAACTTTCATTGACGAAATGACAGACATGAATCCCTCAGTACCAGATATTTTGTACATGTCCTCTGCTTCCTGGGCACTTATATCTTGTCTGACAAAGTGTTACATAACTTCGGGATTATATAAAAATCCCTGATGACACCTGCGCAAAAGTTCCTAGCTGTCAGAATTGGGAAAAGTATATTACAGCTTAGGTATAGGTGTAGTTTGCATGCTGTATGTAAGTCATTCTAACAAATATTTGAAGATCACAACTTGTGTATACTGTGTCCTCTCCCTTGATAATGTTTAGAAATCAGAATCGGTATTCGCACTCCCGTTTGAACGTATCGTCTCTAGCAGACCCAGATACTCATGTTCTGGTAAAATTGCTACGGTTGTGTTACTGACAATGGCAGAATATGTCGCATGTTTGTGCCAAAGACAGATAATTTCATGCGTCTTGTTTACTTTTAATAGCAGGAAGCTTACACCACTTCGGTTATTCTGTCTCCGCAATGCTTGCCATGTTACACGCCACGGTGCATGATGAGTGAACAGTATGGGAGAGATGACGCACCCCTGTGGCAGTCCAGTGTTCGTGTGCACAAACAAAATATGTAGACAAGATGTAGCCCATACAGGCTTAACAATAAAGATAATATTTGTCCAAGAAGATGTGATACAAACCGTGTTAAGGTGGATAGCTGAGAGAGTCCCTTGTTAGCGTTTCGAAAACAACTTTCTGAAGAATGTACTGATTGTTGTTTGTTGAATGAACGAAAGAACGAACAAACAAATAAAAGAATAGATAAATGTAATTGATCAAACCTATTGAAAGAAAGATTTAATGAAGTTTTGAAATCTCACCTTAAACAGTTTTCACTTGTTTGACTTTGCCCGAAGATGAGTGGCAGGGCTTTCCACGAGAGCAGAATGTCATCGTGGATTATCCAGTGGAATATTCCGCACAGCTAAACACGTGTGATAACATGACCTCTTTGTGTATATTTTTATGTTTGGCTTCTGGACCGTGTATGTGATACGACGCCGCGCTCGCAGGATAAACTAAGAGGCAAAAGAAAGTATAGGTCGCGGTTGACCTGCCATAAAAAGCGACAAACGAAACGTTGATTCCAAGTATAATATGAAATGAAGAATGGTTTCAGATGATTATTCAAGCACATTATGAAAGGATGTTCAGACAAAACATGATGTTTATGCTGGGATCCTTTGCCACTCCACCGTCAGGACACGCTCCAGCTCTTGTCTATTGTCAATGCTTGGTTGACGACTTCTGTCTCTTAAGATGGTCCCATATATGCTCTATCGGGTTCGTATCTGGTGAGTGGGCAGGCCATGGAAGGCCCTGAATGTTGTTGCGGTTGACGGCGCAGTGACGGGATAACGTCATTCAATTGTTACGTCATCAAAAAACTATAACTTTATTGTCTGATAATGTATTTCTTTTCTATTGTTCTAACGATTAGGCATCTTAGAAATTTATATATATGTATGTATATGTGTGGATTAATGGAGATATACACATGCATATATTTTTGTACAGTATAAATCATTTATGACGATATAGCAACATTTGGTTTGTGGTTTGGGACCGTGCACGTCAACACGTTGCCGTTGTTAGCTGCAAGGATGTAGAGCACAATTCGGGCAGCATGGGGTTTGGGTGAGTGAGTGAGTGAGTGAATGAGTTATGTTTTACGTCGCTTTTAGCAATATTCCAGCAATATCAAGGTGGGGGACACCAGAAATATGCTTCACACATTGTACCCATGTAGGAAATCGAAAATGGGTCTTAACGTAACGAGCGAACGGTTTAACCACTAAGCTACCACACAACGCCCCCAAGGCATGGACGAACCACGAGAACACGCCCTTCAGGGAAGCTGGGGGTAAAACTGTTACGTCAATGTTGGTGTATTATCGCTGAGTATTTCCGCACACGATTACTAGTGGTCTTGTCTCCTGCTCCCAGGTTCCTCCACATACCATAACACCCCTCTTCTCCACACGGCACAACTTCCTGAACGTCGCTGTTCCTTCTCACTTTGGGCGTTAAATACTAGTAAACACCTCAGAACCAAAAAGACAAAACAGAAGTACATCCTCCCAAAAAGAAATAAAATAAAAATAAATAATAGTAATAAATAAAACTAACTAACTAACTAACTAACTAACTAACTAACTAACTAACTAACTAACTAACTAACTAACTAACTAACTAACTAACTAACTAACTAACTAACAAACTAACTAACAAACAAACAAACAAACAAACAAACAAACAAACAAACAAACAAACAAACAAACAAACAAACAAACAAACTAACTAACTAACTAACTATACTCACTCACTCACTCACTCACTCACTCACTCACTCACTCACTCACTCACTAACTAAAAATAATAATATATTAAATAAACACACAAAAACAAAACAACAAAAAACAACCAAAAGTCCCCCCAAAAAAAGGAAAGTAAAAAGAACAAAAAGAAAAAAGCAAAGTAAACAACAACAAAAAATCACACAAAAAATAAAGAATAAAAAATAATAATAATTTAAAAAAATGACAAAGCGTAAAACAAATAATAACAAACTCCCACCCGAACAAAACCAACAAAGCAAAACAAAACCAACAACTACAACAAAGAAACAAGAAGACAAAAGCCTCAATCTTTTTCTGGATAGAGCATTGGTTGTGTTTGGACGAAGTGTTTGCCATTGATTGACTTTGAACGCTTGTTTGTGAATTATTACAAATTCCCACTCCTATCTAATATACAACACGCACACACCAACTCTGATCCGGACACAACATGTACATCAAACATATATGCATACATCCATCCATACACGTCCATCCATACATCCATACAAAATTGTACGAACAATCTCAATAACTCACCTAATTGTGAGTTATCTCCAACTTTATATACATATAAAATACATTATTTCTGTTATAAATACAATCAGTAATGCAGTATACAACACATCCCATTTCTAATCATAATAAACTAGATCTCACTGATATATGTTCCATACAAGCCTTGGTTAACGAACCTAATTTCGGAGTACTGATTTTCAATAAATAGCATATTCATGATCACAGATATCCGTTTTTCATCAAATCACTAATTATATTTCTGAAACGTTGCTGATAAACCTTGAATCGTTTTGGGACATTTTTATCATGCTTTTCCCGAAACTTGCCAAGTACATTGCTGTCTAAAGGGACAGAACATTCAACAGCACAAATACATTCATTGGCTTTATCAACAGAGACAAGGTAAAGATCAATGTTTGTGTTACGCCCGAGGCTGTGTGTGGGCCAATTCAAAGTATTTTACAGTTCTTATTTTCTCATATTCTGAGTAGTCACAAGCATGGCGAAGCATGGTATTTAAGCTCATTATATAATCTTCATTTCATATTTACATTGGATAGCCTAGTTGTTAAAGCATTCGCTCGTTACGCTGAAGAACTCGGATTCAATTCACCACATGAGTACATCTGGTGTCCCCTGCCGTGATATTGCTGGAATATTGCTGAAAGCGGCGTAAAACGCATTCACTTACTCATATTTACATTTTGACGTAAAAATACACGTTGACGGTTACGAGTGGGAATATTGCTGAAAGCGGCGTAAAACGCATTCACTTACTCATATTTACATTTTGACGTAAAAATACACGTTGACGGTTACGAGTGGGAATATTGCTGAAAGCGGCGTAAAACGCATTCACTTACTCATATTTACATTTTGACGTAAAATACGTTGGCCGGTTACGAGTGGGAATATTGCTGGCGGCGTAAAACGCATTCACTTACTCATATTTACATTTTGACGTAAAAATACACGTTGACGGTTACGAGTGGGAATATTGCTCAAAGCGGCGTAAAACGCATTCACTTACTCATATTTACATTTTGACGTAAAAATACACGTTGACGGTTACGAGTGGGACATTACCAGTATTGAGCAGCAAACGGAAATCTTTCTGTTTCACTTGTCAGGACCGCCAACAGGCTTGCTATTATCCTCAATGAACTGCTTGTAGAGCATCTATTTGAAATACTGAGACTGAGCTGATTTGATACGGTAAATAGAGGTTGACCTCATCCAGCAGTACAGTTCCATCAACAAAATCAACATTAACATGCTTCAAAAGAGGATCACGAGACATATTAATGTGTGCAAAAGTGCAAAATACACACATTCTTAAAATATTTCGTGACGGGCAGAAAAGCAAAGTACTGAAAAAATCGCCTTGAAATATTCCTCTTTCTTTCAAATAAAATACTCGCTCAGGGAGGGCGATACAGTCTAGTAACTTCAGAATCCATTCATGTGATACAGAATCGTAAGCTTTTCTATAGTCTATTCAGCACATGTAACATATGCTATATTTGGGATTACACTAGTAAAGTACAATTTATAGTACTTTTGTTGGGTTGAGTCCCATCCGGGATTCGAACTAGCAAAAGTACAAAGTACCCGTAACTCTGTCGCCAGAGCACTGCAGTGACGTCATATGATGAAGGATTTTCAGTTAGTTGTATAGAAAGTGTGTAGCAAGCTCGTCATTTTGATGATTTCTCGACATCAACGAAGACATGCCAAATCGTTGCCTTGTCGTCAATTGCTCCTAGGGATCGGGCGATGGTGTCACCATGCACAGATTTCCACAGGACCCCGCAGTTCGTGCAAAATGGGTTATGTTTGTGAGTGCGAAGCGAGCGTTGTGGAAGCCTGAAACGATATCTTACTTGTGTTCAGATCGCTTCACGGAAGTTAAAGAATCAAAACCACTTACTAGTCGTAGTAAAATATGTATATGATTGATGACCATAAAGATTTTCCATGACACAACTTGTAACATAACGATTTCTGCCTCAGAAGCGAGGTTGTGGTCGAAGTAACAATAATACTGTAAGTAGTATTATATTGACACCCACCTCGTTTCCACGAGAGAAATTGTTATGTTATAAGCTATGTCATGCACAATCCTATTGGCCATCAATCAAATACATATTTTATTACCAGTAGAAAGTAGTTTTGATTTTGTAACTCGGTGAAAACAAACCTAAATACCATTTATCCTCAGACTGGCGGATGTTCCCGACAAGGGTGCCACCATTTTTGAAAATCGTGAAGTCACGGGCTAAAAGCTGTTAGAATTAATGAGATTATGGTTTGTTTTCATCAAGTTAAAAAATCAAAACTACTTTCTACTCGTAGTTAAATATGTATTTGAATCATAACCAAAAGCATTTTGCATGACACAACTTATAACATAACGATTTCTTCCACGGAAGCGAGGTGGGGGGTCGAAGGGACAATACTGCGCGACAAATTTCTTGCTACATTCACGTGGTTAACGTGCACTCACCAGTATGTAGATGCTAGTCAATGTACGTCTTTATATTTGGTCTTATAATCCTAATTAGTTTATTATCATACTTGTATGCATTTTGAAACTATATAAAAAGCAGACGATCTGCTGATACTTATACTGACTAACTGAGTTTGGTTTTAAGCCGCTTTTAGCAATATTCCAGCAACATCACGGCGGGGACACCAGGAATGGGCTTCACACATTGTACCCATGTGGGGATTCAAACCCGGGTCTTCGGTATGACGAGCCAACGCTTTAACCATTAGGCTACCCCACCGCCCCGCTGATACTTATAGTGCATTTCTAACAGGACTGTAATATCTAGACATTTTATAGTTTGCCAATGTGAATCATAATTCGCACACACGCCCTAGTGTATTCTCATTACACTTCACGGCGAAAACAACGATTCTGTTGAATGCTACGACAAATGAATAAAACAAATGCAAATATCAAAATTAAAACAGATTAAATTTATAGGAACAATGTCAGGCTATTACCTTGTTCGAGGAATGTATCCATCAATATCCACAAAAACGAGTGATATGCCATTCATCTGCAGCTGTTCCAAGTA